AGATTTTCACAGTAACATCCAAAAGGATGGGATTGTCCATCTACCTAACAATTTTTAAATTTGTAACCTACTTTTAAAGACACTTTCCCTGTCAAATACAGCTCTGTATCAGCATTTTTTTATCTTAATAATTTTTGTTTTTCTTTATATTATTATTTTTTTATTTCTAACTTTTTATTAGAAAAGCTTACCAGAGTTGAAAGAATAATTCAATGCACATCCATATGCTTTCCACCTAGATTCAGTAATTGTTAACATATTAGCATATTTATGTCAGCATGTGACAATATTCCATCTTGTGGAGATAATACAGCCTGGTGGTTAAGAGTGTGGAGTCAGGGCCGGCCCCGTGGCTTAGCGGTTAAGTGTGCGCACTCCGCCGCTGGCGGCCCAGGTTCGGATCCCGGGCGCGCACCGACGCACTGCTTCTCCGGCCAAGCTGAGGCTGCGTCCCACATACAGCAACTAGAAGGATGTGCAGCTATGACATACAACTATCTACTGGGGCTTTGGGGGGAAAAATAAATAAATAAAAAAAGTCTTTAAAAAAAAAAAAAAGAGTGTGGAGTCAGTCGGCCTGGGTCCCAAACCAGTTCCACTGTTTTCTAGTACTGTGACTTGACCTTGGGCAAGATTTTTAACATCTCTAAGTCTGTTTCCTCAACTATAAAATAGGGATGACGTCTCAGAGATTTCAGAGGATTAAATGGGATAATGTTTGGCACATGATAAATGCTCAGTAAATATTATTTGGGTACTTGTCTTATCTCCTCCCTGAGCCTGGAAGAGAGAGATAATATCTTGACTGGTTTCACTTTAAATCCATGTCCGTTAACCTCAAGTGGGCTGCCTGGTAATCCTACCACATCTCACCAGTCATTTACTCTCTTACTTTCTTAGATGATTATTCCACTCATTCTCTTCTCTCCTCAAACCTTTAATAATTCCTGCCTCTTCTTCTCTCTTAGCTGACAACTGTGCTTTTTGTTTCACTGAGAAGATAGAAGCAATTCAAGAGAAACTTCATACATTCACATTACATCTGCCACTTTGCTTGCATCTATACCCATATTCTATGCCTTCATTCCTATATTGTGGATGAACTGTCCATATTTCTATTTAAGGCTATCCCCTCTACTTGTGCACTAGATCCATTCCCTTTTGCCTATTCAAGACTCACTCTAGTAATTGTGCCCTCTCTCTCCTGCATCATCAATTTTTCCTTCTCTACTAAATCATTCCCATTTTACCAAAACACTCCTCAAGCTACTGTCTAATTTCACTGCTGCTCTTTAAAGCAAAGCTCTTTGAAAGAGCTGTCTTTACTCACACATCCATCAAAAAATCCAACTTATTCTACCATGAAAATTGTCTCAAGTCCGAATACTTCCTATCACCTCCATCACTACCACTCTCATCTAAACCGCCATGATCTGGCTTGTACCACTGCAGGACCTTCATGATTGTTTTCCCTGGTTTCTCACTTGCCTCCCTATAGTCTATTCTGCACCCAACAGTCGAAGTGATCCTTTAAAAACATGTCAGACCATCTTTCCCTCTGCCTCAAACCTTGTAATGCCTTTCTACCAACTCAGAAGAAAATCCAAAGTCTTTGCCCTGCGTCCAAAGACATTCATATTCTGACTACCTACTCAACTTCATTCCTTATATTCTTTCCCTTACTCACTCAGCTCCAGCCATGCTGATTTTCTTACTCTTCCTTGAACATACCAGGCACAAAACCTGCCTCGGGGACTTTCCGTTTGATGTCTTATCTGCCTGGAAGGCTCTTCTCCCAGACATTCACATGGCTTGCTCTTATATGTCATTCAAACCTCTATTCAAATATCATTTATCAGAGAGCCTTCCTAGACTACTCTGTTTTATTTTCCTTCTTGGCACTTATCACTCACTGGCATAATTGTTTAATGAGTTCAGGGACTTTATTTTGCTCACTGCTATATCACCATGTCTAGAACAATTTTTGGCATGTGTTAGCCACTGATATATTTGTTGAATGAATGAATCTGTGTTTCTTCTATACCCTGTTAGTGCACAGAACAGTGCTGAACACAAGTAAGTGCTTGATAAGCATTTATCAAAATAGGGTAGAAACAGCATAATCTACATAACATAAACTGGATTCTATCAGTTTCTTAAAGCAGAACACATATCTGGCAGTCATTCAACAAAGGTTTGCATCTATAAAATGAGGGCTAATACTTTATACTTCATTGAGCAAATGTTCCAAGAATGAGATGAGAAAACATTTATGGAAGCATCCAGTTCCTGGATTTTGGCAAATATCAAGTACTTAAAATTGTGAAATGGGGGCCAGCCTAGTGGCATAGTGGTTAAGTTCGTGCTCTCTGCTTTGGTCATCTGGGGTTTGCGGTTTGGATCCCTGGAACGGACCTACACACCACTCATCAAGCCATACTGTGGGAGCGTCCCACATATAAAGTGGAGGAAGATTGGCACAGATGTTAGCTCAGGACCAATCTTCCTCACACACAAAAATAAATAAATAAATAAATAAAAATTGTGAAATGAATAAACAGACTCCAAGGGCACCCAGGAGCCTACAGAAGTGACTCTGTCTCACGAGGAATTGTACCTTGAGACTGAGGAATGTCCAGATGAAGTAGCTCCATTGATATGATTCTGCAGAAAGGGAATTACTATTATGTTAAATCTAACACTCCATCTGAGCAGAGAGGCTGGAAAAAAGCACACATATCAATTGACTAGTCTCACTTCAAATTCATAACCTTGGGCTTGTGAGGGGCCTTAATGCTTCCCAGCAATCTTATTACTGTTCCCTAGTCCATTCACTCTCCTATTTTCCTAGATGAGTATTTCATACCTTCTTTCTCCCTCCTTCCTTCAATAATTCTTCCTTCCTCCTCTTAGACAATGACCTTGTTACCTATTTTACTTCAAAAACAGAAGCAACTGGAGGAGACCTTGCAAATGTTCCCACCTGCCTACATCTGGGCCTCTATGCTCTGCCTTCCCTCCAGTTATTGTGGATGTTCTGTTCTTGGCTCCTATTCAAGGCCACCCTTCTACTTACCACACTAGATCTCATCCCCTTTCTCCTTTCCAGCAATGATCCTCTTTCTCCCTATAGTTTTTCCTTCTCCACTGGATTATTTCCATAAGAACACAAACATTCTGGGCTGGCCCTGTGGCTTAGGGTTAAGTGCGCGCGCTCCGCTTCTGGCGGCCTGGGTTCGGATCCCGGGCGCGCACCGAGGCACCGCTTCTCCCGCCATGCTGAGGCCGCGTCCCACATACAGCAACTAGAAGGATGTGCAACTGTGACATACAACTATCTACTGGGGCTTTGTGGAAGGAAAAAAAAAAAGAACACAAACATTCTGCAATTTCTGCCATCTTAAATAAAATCTTGTGACCCCATATCCTGCTCAAGCCACACGCCCCATCCTCATTTCTTTGGAACTCCTATGTTTGCTGCTTCGCTTCCTTTCCTCCTTTTCTCTCATGAGTCCACTACAGACTTTTGCTCCCTTCCTGTACTGTAACTTCTCTTGTCAATGTCTCCAGTGATCTCCATGTAGCAAAACCGGGTGGTCAATTCTCAGTCCTCATCTTACTAGGCCTACTTACAGAGCTTGACGCAATTAATCACTCTCTTCTCCTTGAAATAGTTTCTTTACATGACTTCTAAACTATAATCTCTTGGCTTTTCTCCTACCTGACTTCTCAATTTTCCTTGTTGATTTTTTTCTCATTTCTACAACCTCTAATCCCTGGAATGTCACCAGGATTTGACCCTTTTCTTTATCTGAACTCACACCTTTGGTGATCTCACCCAGTCTCATGGCTTTTAATACCATCCATATATTACTAACGCCCTCATTTATATCTCTAGGCCAGATCCTTCTCCTTAGCTCCTCTTGAATATCCAACAGCTTTATAAAAGCATCTCCTCTCGGATAATTGATAGGCATCTCCAACTTGTCCAAAAACAAGCTCCTGATCCTTTCTCTAAAATCTGTTCCTCCTGCTGTCTTCTCCATTTCAGGAAATGGCAACTCAATTTTTAACGGTTCCTCAGGCCAAATACTTTGGAGTTATTCTTGACTCCTTTCTCACAATACCACTTATCCAATCAACCAATCATGTTGGTCATAGCTTGAAAATATACCCAAAGATTGAACCACTTCTCACCACCTCCACTGCTGCCATGCTGATCCAAGCAGCCATTATCTCGTGCCTAGTTTTCTACAATAACCTCATAACAGGTTTTTCTGCTTCCTCCCTCATGCCCCTTTTGTGCAAATTGAAGATCTCCGATGGCTTCCCATCTCACTGGTAGTAAAAGTCAGAGTCTTTAAAAAAGACTTCCAAGGCCCTACATAATCTGCCCCCACCCCAAGTTATCTCTGATCTCATCTCCATCCGTCTTTCCTCCTTCCTCCTTCCTCTCTCCACTCCAGTTACACTGGTCTCTTGCTATTCCTCAAGCAGGCTAGTCCCACTTCCACCCCAGGCCCTTGCAGGTTCTTGCCTGGACAACCACAACCTTTACCCCCTGAGCTCCTTCAGCTCTTGGCTCAAATGCCATCTTTCAGAGAGGCTTCTCCTGACCACTCTGTGTAAAACTATATTTTCCCATTCACACCCCAGCACTTACTACCTCCCTTCCCTATATTTTCTCTACAGCACTTATCACCACTTAACATAATAATCATTTTCTTTATTCATTTGTCTATGTATAGACCAGAATGCAAACTCCATAAGGGCGGGGTTTTTATCTGTTTTGTCCTCTACAATTTCCCTAGCACCAATAAATACTTGTTGAATGAATTGTGATGACTTTTCCCCCGCTCTATGATCTCAAGACCCACTTCTTCAAAAGACTAAGGAATGTACCTGGTAACAGGAGGGCTTGAAAGTAATGATGGTGAGTTTACGGAGATGGTACCTTAATACTTCCATGAATATCTAATATTCTGATTTTTCTCTTCCAGCTTAACACCAAAACATCCCCAGCAACCAACCAGGCACCTGGCCCGGAGGAGAAGGGTGAGTGGGGTTGGGCTACGCAGTTTGTAGAACAGGTAAATATAGGGACATGAAGACAAGTAGGGCTGTAAGTCTAGAAGCTCCTAAAGTCAGATGTAATAGGAAGAGGAACATGGATAAGTGAAATGAAGCACTAGGTTAGAACTACTATATCTATAGTCTTCCTTCTGCTTTTTCCTAAGACGTAAATCTACCAGTATTTACTCTTTGATTCTAGAAACTGGCTCTGGAGTGCTTGGAAACAAGCACAATGATAGGAAGAAACTCATCGGATAATCCCAGCCACTGTTGCAATCAGAAATTGAGGGAAAGCTGGGGAAAGTGAGTGTGCCCTGGGACTCTGAATTGTAAGATTTAGGAATAAGCAGTGATAGAAGACATTTGTCGTCTTGGTCCAAAAGTAGCAAAGCTCCTAATTAACGACAGTGAATTCTCAGCCTAGGTGCCCTGACTCATACTTCTAAGAGAGTTACCAGGCATTCTTAGTCCTAGCAAAGATTAGGGGACCTCACAGAGTCCAGCAGAAAGTGGACTTGACCACTGTATTTGGGGCCTGGAGAAAGGGGCTGGGGCAATTCAGGTTTACTCATTAATGAATCTCTCCACTATCTGCAGGGAAAGCTGGCAATGCCAAGAAGGCTGAGGAGGAGGAGGAGATTGACATTGATCTGACGGCTCCGGAAACAGAGAAGGCTGCTCTTGCTATTCAGGGCAAGTTCCGGCGATTCCAGAAAAGGAAAAAGGATCCCAGCTCCTGAATAATCAGCCTTGCCCTTCACCCTGCTCCCTTTCTCCCCTTCTCCACAGCTCTGACTCCCATGTTTCTTTGTCTCTTTGTCCCTCTAGACTCTTGATGAGGCAAGTTCAACCCTTATATATTATTTTCTCTGGCCCCCTCAAGCAATCACAGCAGTAGAGGCACAAGGAACATGGGGAAGGTGAAGAATTCAATTGGCAGCCACTTGCCTAAGGGTGGACCAGTTTCTCCTTGGGTTAAGGCTCCTTGATCGGTACCTATGCCTGCCCTATGAGGCTGAAGAGCAAGAGGCTTTGAGGTTGAGAGAGGGACCCCTGACAATGTGGGGGGAGGGGAAAGCCTTCAGAGCAGGGCACCCAAGGGTGGGGCATATGCACTATTCTGCTGGTTACAACATTCACACTTCAGGTCACATTTTTCCCCCTTCATATCCTTCTGCACCACCACCTCCAATTTCCCTCCTATGAGCTAAGCCAGTGGGGACTGGAGTCTCCCTTTTCCCTAGGCAGACCTAAATCGAGCAGCTTCCACATTAGTGCATGCTGAGTAGATTAGTTCCAAGGAAGGGAGATTGGGACGAGTAGAGGCAAGAAGTTTCCTTCATCATCTAGTCTAAGATCGTAAGGGCCAGAGGTGGAAGAGGTTCAAGGGGCCACAGGCAGGAAATGGAGCTAGAGTAGATTTGAGAAGGAAAGAAAAACAAAGGAGGGGGAGATCTCTGAAGACACAAGTTACTGCTGGTAAAAGTGTATTATATGAGGGATTCTTGGGGCTTTGCTAACCTGCCTACCTCTAACCCCCCAAGTCCAGCCATCCCCAGAGGTCACACAAACCAAGTGACCCCTGTAGTTCCTACCTGCCCCACTGTGGAGTCAGGGCAGAAGTGGAATAGACACTCTATGTGATTTTAGCATGTTTAATAATTATTAAAAAAACCAACCAACCCTCAAGTGGGGCCATTTAACCTCTACTTCTGTTTTTCTTGGGAGGAATATAAATGTAAGCCTGAGCTGGCCTCAGGGAGGGTGGTAGAGCAACTACGTGGATTCCCATGGAGGCTCGGGAAACTGACACTGCCCGAGCCACTTTCAGACTGAAGCCCACCCCTGCCTTCCTATCCCCGACCTCACCCTCACCTTGACTCACCACCCACATTGTCTTTATCTGCTGCTGTCACCACCGCAGGGGCACACCTGCAAGGGTGCTCCTCTCCTTCTCTTTCCCCTCCCAGCTAAGAGCACACTTGGTGTATATCCCTCTGAAAACAAACCCAGTCTTCCTTGCTCCCTATCCTCAAATGACCTACCCTGGCTGTCCCTCCTGCTTTGTCTTCCTCCCACTGTTTATTAAACTTAGGTGACTCTAGGTCAATAGAGAGCACCACTGTCACACTGAAGATTTTAAACCATGAGTTAAATAAAATGGTGGCTTTCAAATGAAGCTTACATTGCTGAGAAATGATCTCTATATATTGAAACCAGAAGCCAAATGCTTGAAGATCAAGCGAGGAACGTTCTCTCTTCCCCACTCTTTTCACTTCTCAGTGTTCACAATACAGAAATTGAAACCATGTAGCAGGTAGTAGGACGCAACGGACAATATCCCTGGAGGGCAACCTCTATCCCAAAGTTCACCCATGCCTGGCAAGCCCGTGGCTCGTGGATATTGGGAGGATTGAACAGTAATTCATGGGAAGGCCCTGTGTGTTTTTTTGTTTTTTTTTTTTTTTGTGAGGACAATTAGCCCTGAGCTAACATCCGATGCCAATCCTCCTCTTTTTGCTGAGGAAGATTGGCCCTGGGCTAACATCCGTGCCCATCTTCCTCTACTTTATACGGGACGCCACCACAGCATGGCTTGACAAGCAGTGCGTTGGTGCGCACCCGGGATCTGAACCTGCGAACCCCAGGCCACCAAAGCAAAGTGCGTGCACTTAACCGCTACGCCACCGGGCTGGCCCGGGAAGGGCCCTGTGTTAAAGGAAGTACTTTCTCCTCCTGATGCCAAAGAAAAGAAGGAAATTTTACATTTGGAATCTATTCTGAGTGCAGTATAGTAATGATGGTGGCTTTTAGTCCTGGCCTCATGGGCAGATAAGAGGATAACCTCATTGCCACACCTGGAGTGTGTCCAGTGTGTCCTGGTAAAACAGGAGAATTCCCTGTTTCCTTGCTGCATGGACATGAGATGGGGATTGACTGTGCTACACGTTGGTTGCCCCTATGGACGCTGAGGTAAAACAAGTGCTCCCTGTTCTTGGTGATGGGATTTTGAGAGCCAGCTGGTGCTAGGGCAGTGGTGGAGTTCTCCGTCCCCGGCCCTCTCCTGTAAGTTCCACTGCTTGGAGGTATCTGCTGATTTGCATTTTGCCACACTGATCTGGAGCATGGTGCTGAAATGGTTTTTTCTCTTCACCATTACTTGCTGCAAAAGTATTACACTTGTCCTCATACATATTTTAAAGAAAGGGCATGGTAGCAAAAACATAGTCTGTAGCTTTGGGAAAGATGGTTCCAACCAGAAAGATTTAAGCATCTTTTGTGTAACAACTGTAGTTCTCAGTAAAGTTTCTGAAAGCTGGTTTCTCTCTGCCAGGCTGCTTACTCCTACCATGGGGCACTCAAATTGAATCTCTTCTCTCTGGCACACCTGTAACTCCTCCTGGAGCCCCGGGCTTGGGCCCAGAACCCTGTTTCTCTTCCCTGTCCTGGTTCCTACTGTTGGAGACATAATCTTTGAGTACTGATCACTAAGGAATTATTCTTGAGTGCTTTGTTTTGTGGAGCAAAAACTGCAAGTCTTTGGGAGATTGGTGACTGTTCTTATAACAAATGGCTTAGCAGAAGAGACAGGCATTAGAAATAGTCAAGGCAGAAAGCAAATGCTGTTATCACATCTATATCCCTGATCTCTCTTTCGGTGCTGTTTCAACTGTGTAGGGGTGGCAGAGCTGGGAGTATAGTCCTGACAAAAGTGGAAGAAGCCTGGAGATCTGAGCAGGGGATACTTTGGAATATGTTTCCAAGCCCAAACTTGGAGGTGAAGGTCTTGGGAGAAATTCAGGCAGCTAAAGAGACAAAGATCCTGCTTCCCTGGACAACCTGCTTTCAGGGACTTGGTGTCATTGCTGGGTAGGATTCTTGACCTCTCCTTGATCTTGCTCCATTATAGATCCAGCTTTTTCCACTTCCATCTCTTACTCTTGCACTTAACCCCTGCCCTAATGTCCTTTTTGGGAGCTTCCCTGCCTGCCCACCTCTGCCTCTCTGCCCCTCTTGCCCTTGCTGAGTTTCCTTTATTTCTGGAGTTGTTTGCAGTGGGAGTGGCTCCTAGCAGCTTTCTTGTCCCTTCTTTACTCAGCCCGCCGAGAACCAGTCCTCACTGGAATCACTCTCCAGTGCACTGCTCTCTTCCTGTTCTTCACCATCTTCTCTCTAAATGTAGCCCCTCTGCTGTCTGTGCCTCTGAAGATGGGGGTTTGGGTGTCAGGAGGTTTGTCTTTTGTATTCAGACAGACATCACTGGTGCCTTCGTTTCTGGTTGTTTGGGTGGCAGCTCTGACTCCAGATCCACAAGGGTAGAGACTTACAGTCACGGATGATCAGAAAGTCAGCCTGTTCACAAGTCTGCAGGAAATGCTTCCTCATTCCCTCCTTGGCTACTTCCCTTCTCTGCCATTGGGTTAGGGTGACACTGGCAGCCCTCCTTCTTCCTCCCAGCATTCTATTCTCCCCTTGGTATGATGATGATGATGATGATGGTGGTGATGATAGGCCTTTCTTACTTCCTCAATCACCTCAAGAATGAAGCAAAGGGATCCGCTGGATTGCCTGCAAGTATTCTTACGTGCACATAACTCTCTGTTGACTTAGGTTTCATCTTAGTTAGCGTCCTCAGGGATGCTCATCTCCCCAGTTGGGGTAACTTACTAGCCTTATGCTACCTGCAGGGCTTGAATGGTGATGACAATAGTAATATTTAAGATTTGTAAAGTACTATGTGCCAGACACTGTTCTAAGCACCTTTATGTATATTAACTCATTTAATTCTTAAAACCCTGTGACATAGATACTATATTATTCCCATTTTACACCTGAAGAAACTGAGGCACAGCTAGATTAAATAACCTTCCCAAAGCAAAGTGGGTGCTTGAGGTAGGACCAGAACTCATGTAATCTGGCTCCAGAATCTGTGCCCCTTATACAACCTTGATAAGAGACTGGATGAGTCAAGGATGTTGTCCAGCCTAGTTCAGAGGGTGGAGCTTCTCTTAGCTGAGCTCAGGCATACGTACTTGGTCCCTCATAGCCCACATGGGTAAGATCTGGACCCTCTCTGGTCCCCCATCCTTCCAGGGGTGGACCAGATCTGGCTTTACCTGGTTGCTCTGCCAGACTTCTCCCAGAATTCTGTCAGTGCCTGATCTCCTCATCCAGCTGCCTCCCCTGGTGCTCCAGGGAACATGTGGCCAGGCTTTCTGGAATTAAGTGGTTTGAAGTGAAGTGGGTAGAGAAATGGGGCTCAGAACTTGGAAAGTGGGGCTGATATGTGGGCCTAGAAAGGAGGAATAGTCAACAGGCTCACTGGGGTATAAAGGTGGAATAGATGTGGGCATCATGAAATGAGACCAAACTCTAACTCATGGGAGGGCTCCAGGTCTCATTTATTCCCCTAAGTCAGTTCTCAACAGGGGGATGTACTGCCTTCTAGAGAATGTTTTGGAAATCCATGGGGGTATTTTTTGGTTGTTATATGTTGGGAGGGTGGGGTGGGAATGGGGGAGGGTTTCCTGGTACTTAGTGTCCATGGGCCAAAGATACTAGATACACTGCCAAGACCAGGACAGTGGTGCACAAAATACAGTTGTCCCACATCTCACATGTCTTTTAAAAGTCCTGTCAGATATTAATGTAGGCAAAAAACCTGTTATTATCTGAGGGAGCCTAGAACCCAACTTCATTTTACATATAAAGTATTTTTTGCACTGTTTTAAACACTGAATTTCCTAGAAATGCAACCAACCAATGTAGATTGAAGGAACTTATAATTGGTTTTGTCTAGAACTTTACCAAGAGTTGCTTACCATTTCAGAAATCCATGCATCAATGACGATGCTACTTATGGTAGTTGAGTCACTGATACCTATGCCTTTATTAGTTTGCATTTGTTGCTGTTGCAATCACAGTGATTCTTTGTATAGGTTCAAGGCTCTGACTGCTACATTATATGCTTCCAGTGTAGTCATGCCTGAACATTACATGTTAAAATGCTTATAATTTTATTATAAATTAATATTTTATTTTACCTTTAAAATATAGTTCATTATATTTAATTCTTGAAATTATGTATATAGTTTATATTACATGTGAATATCATTTCAGGAAAGTAAAGGGCACAGGGTCTGAGGAGGTTGGGAACTACTGCCCTAAGCTTTTGGAAAGCCATGCCCAGCACTAACCTGAAGATTCAGGAATCTGTCTTTCTCCTGCCTCCACCTCTTTTCTCTGTAAAAGAGTCCCCCAAAACTTACTGTCAAGTTATAAGTCTTTAGTATGGACTGGACGCTCAGAGAGGGACTGAAAGATAAACAATGGGGGCTCAGCTGGGAGCCACGCTTAATGCCTAAAGAAAGCCTTTGCAGGGCAAAAGGATTGTGTCTGTGTCATGATGTGTCTGAATTGTGAAGCAGATAGTGA